AACGGCCCGGGCAGCCGGTACCCGCTCAGCCTCCCTCTGCGCGCAGGCCGCAGTGACACCCGGACTCGTGCTCCTGGCGAAAGGGACCCCGGAGTCCTCTCCCTGCCGGCTGGGGCGAGAGTCTGGACCCGGGAGGCGCGTGCTCCCTCTGCTCGGGGTGAAGGGCCATCTCCGCAGAGCATCCTTCTGGGTGTCCTTCGCCAAAGCACCCTGCAGCCAAACGGTTCCAGTGCCCCCCAGGGAGCCCCATCGGGTGGGAGCTGCGCTGACCTGGCCCGGGGCCCCCAGCGCGTGGCCGTGGTTCCTGGCTCCTTGCCCGATTGCCCAACGCTCGCGCCCCGGCTCCGGCTGCTGCCTGCACCAAAATCCCAAGGGGTCGGTGCCTTAGGAAAGCCTTGGGGAGTCACCAGGCCATGCCCCCTGCCCCATGGAGAGCCCAGCAGCTTCCCTGAGCCCTGCCCAGCCGAGCCCCCCGAGTGGTAGCCCCAGGCCGAGCCCTGGCAGCCGGCCCTGTGATCCTGGCCTCGAACCCCCAGGCTCCCGCTGCCAGCTTGGGGTCCAGCTGGTGTCCCGGAGCCGGGGGCTGTCCTGCCCCCTAGTGGTGGTTGACCCGTCTGTCCCGCAGACCAGCCAGCCCACGCTGGACACCTTCCAGGACCTGCTGCACAAGCACCCCGAGGCCTTCTACCCGTCGCGCACGGCCAAGGCCCTGCAGCTCCACTGGCAGCTGATGAAGCAGTACTACCTCCTGGACGACCAGACAGGTAAGGCCTGGCCCGACCGGGCAGCCCACCCCCCCGGCTGGGCCGGGCCCTGGAGCCTGGAGCCGGACCCCGCGTCAGCACCACCCGGCAGCTGCTGGGACCGTGCTGACCCTCCCCCCGCCCTCTGCTTCCCTTCAGTGCAGCCGCTGCCCAAGGGGGACCAGGTGCTGAACTTCTCGGACGCGGAGGACATGATAGACGACAGCAAGCTGAAGTGAGTGTCCGCGGGGGGGTCCTTCCCGCCAGGGCGCAGCCCCAGCTGCACAGCTCGTGCCACGGGCCATATCCCCTGGCCAGCCCGGAGCCCCTCGCTCCGACTACCACCCAGCCCGAGCTGCTGCTGCCGCTGCCTGGTGCTTCCTGTCCCCCGGAGCCCGGCTCCGGCTCCGGCTCGCTGGCTGGCTGCAGCGTGGCCCAGGGCCGAGCAGGCCCGGCTGCCCTTGGCGCCCTGCGGGGCAGACATGGCGGCAGGTGGCCGCAGAGGGCCCGTGCTGGGGCTGGGTCCAGGGGCTGGTGTGTTAGGGATCCGGCCTGCGAGGCATCCCGTGGGCGCGTGTACGAGGGCAGCTACCTGACCCCTCCCCTGTCCCTTCCCCGCAGGGATGTGCGGGACGAGGTGCTGGAGCATGGTGAGTCTGGCGGGGCCTTCGCTCCGCTCCCCGCCCCAGGGCACTTGTGGGGGAGCCGAGGGGCTCGGGCGGGGCGGGATGCCCTGACCCCTGGCAGGTTTGGTTAGCGCTGTGCCTCGGACCCGTCGCCACAGCCCCATCCAGCCGGGCGCTGCTGCAGCTGGGCCTGACAGCCCTTCTGCCCTGACACTGGGTCAGCGCCCCCTGGAGGGGACAGGCCCCAGCCCCATTCCCCACCCCCTGAGCCAGCCAGTCCCTGCCCTGGGGCCAGATCAGAGCCGGTGCCCCCTGGAGGGGAGAGGCCCCAGCCCCATTCCTCACCCCCTGAGCCAGCCGAACCCCCACCCTCAGGCCAGGTGGGAGCCGGCGCCCCCTGGAGGGGAGAGGCTGCATATCCCCTCCCCCGAGCCAACCCCTTCTCCCCAGGGCCCCGTCACCCTCGCTGGGGCCTGTGCCAGGCGCTGGGGCTGGCCCGAGCTGCCCCCTGCACTTCCCTCCTTGCAGAACTGACCGTGGCCGACAGGCGCCAGAAGCGGGAGATCCGGCAGCTGGAGCAGGAGCTCCACAAGTGGCAGGTGCTGGTGGACAGCATCACGGGTGAGAGCCGGGGGGGGAGGGTTGCTGGGGGGCGGGGGCGTGGGGCGTGGCTGAGCTGCTGCTGAGCTCAGGGTGTGGGACAAAGTCCCAGCATCCACCTGGCTGAGACCCCAGGTGTGGGGGTGGGAGGGGTCTGTCCAGCCAAGGCCCATGGGGGGAGGTGGGGGTGGTTCTCCGTGGGACCGATGGGGGGAGGTGGGGGGCGGTTTTCCATGTGACCCGTGGGGGGGGAGGTGAGGAGGTTCTCTGTGTGACCTGGCGGGTAGATGTGGGGAGGTTTCTCCGTGGGACCCGGGGGGGGGGGGGGGGGGGGGGGGTTCTCCGTGTGACCGGGGGGTGAGTGTCTGATCTCTCCCCTCCCTCGCCCAGGTATTAGCTCCCCAGACTTTGACAACCAGACGCTGGCCGTGCTGCGGGGGAGGATGGTGCGTTACCTCATGCGCTCCCGAGAGGTGAGTCCTCGTCGCCCCGGATCAGCCGGGGCAGGGGGTCCCGGCTAGACGCCCCGAGATGCCCCGGGGCGTCATCGCGGCCTCCTGTTTCCAGAGGGCCCCCGGGTGGCCGCGTACAGGCTCCGAGCCTGCCCCTGCGCACACAGGGAGGGGCTGCGCTTGTGGGCGGAGGAGAGGGGACTCCCTGGGGGCTGGGCTGGCTGGTGCTTAGAGCCACCCTGGGGGAGCACGTGGGGGGCACCTCGCTAACAGCCCCCCCCTTCCAGATCACACTGGGCAGAGCCACGAAGGACAATCAGATCGACGTGGACTTGGCGCTGGAGGGCCCCGCCTGGAAAATCTCTCGCAAGCAAGGTACAGGGGCGGGGCTGACACGCCCATCGGGGGCGGGGCTCATAGATCTGTCCATGGAGGGGCGGGGCTAACCCCCGGGGCCGCTGGGTGTGGGCTCCAGGATGGCACTACTGGGGTGTGGGGCGAGGGGGGCGCTGCCCAGTGCTCCAGTCCCTGGGTGTGGGATACGGGCGACACCCTGCCTGGTAGCTAGGCTGTGGGTGGGGTCTCTGTGCCCCCCTCACCGCCCCCCCCCCCGCTGCGCCTTGCAGGCGTCATCAAGCTGAAGAACAACGGGGATTTCTTCATCGCCAACGAGGGCCGGCGCCCCATCTACGTGGACGGGCGCCCAGTGCTGGGCGCCAGCAAGTGGAAGCTCAACAACAACTCGGTGGTGGAGGTGAGCGCCCGGCCCGCTGCGTGGGGGGGACGGGGTCAGATGCCCCCTGACTGGGTGCCCCAGGGGAGCCCCTGGTGGTGGCACTGTGGGGGCTCCCCTGAGCTCAGCTGGGCTGTGCCCGGGCCCTGCCCGCGCTGACCTCCCTCTCCCCTGTAGATCGCCAGCCTGCGCTTCGTCTTCCTCATCAACCAGGACCTGATCGCCCTCATCAAAGCCGAAGCTGCCAAGATCCCCCAGCAGTGAGGAGCTGGGCTGGGCCCCTGCTACTGTCCGGTGACTGCAGGAGGCTGGGCCTGGGGCCGCCCGCTCCCCTCTGGCTGGGGACAGGGCCTGGGGCCGGCTGCACACTGTTCCCTTCCAAATAAATGTGTCTAACCTGCTGCTGGGGTCCGGGGCCTGCTAGCGTCAGGGAGTGGCTGGCAGCAAGTCCAGCCCTTTGCCCCTGGCCCAGAGAAAGGGCACCAGGCTCTGTCCTGCCACAGTGAGTTCCCCTGGTTAACAGGGCAGCGCCCCCCCCCCCCCCCGTCCCCCCTTCGTGCCTGGGGGCCTGCGGCTGGGCCCACCGTGGCTGCTCTGCCCCACAGCGCCAGGGCAGGGGCCAAAATCGACACAAGACCAGAGATCAAAATGCAGCTGTTTTAATGTAAAAAGGGAGGGGGAGGGGAAGCCCTATGGACTGGAAGCCCGGCTGCCCCACCCCGCCTCCCCCCTGTTCCACAGGCCAGGCGGGGTCCTGCCCCTTTGCCACCGGCTGTGCCCTCGGGGGCAGGTGGAACCCGGCTCTGCCACAAGCTCCGGGAGCAGCTCCTGCGCTGGCCCCCTTGTGGCAGTGCTCATGGGGGGCGGCCCCCAGCGGCAGTGCTGGGTTGGGAACGAGGCCCGTGGCCGGCGGTGGCTCCCTACAGGGGCTGTGCGGCCCGGCCAGGCCCCCTGGCTCTCCAGGGAGGCAGAAAAATCCCAGTGTGTGTGGGGGTGCAGACTTCACATGCCTGTGCCCTCCTCCCGGGGCCAGCAGGGGGCACTCATGGCACCGTGGCAGCCCAGCAGCACCATCTCCAGGCTGGGCGGGTCCCAGGGCAGAGGCAAAGTGGCCGGAGCTGGAGGTCCCTGGGGGTCCGTCTCAGGGGCTGGCGGAGCCTGTGGCGGGGGCGTGGCCCCGTGGTGTCCATGGGGGCCAGGGGAGGCCGGTGCTGCCGTGGGAGCAGTGAGGTCCCTGGGGCCGGCCGCTGGCCACGTGCTGCCGAGCTCCGCGTCTGTCCCCCCTGCCGAGGTCCACGGGGCGCTGTGGGAGGCGGGCGGGCCCCAGGCCCAGGGGGGTGCAGGCCGGGCGCGGGGGCAGGCTGCGTTGAGACATGGGCCGGGCGCGGCGCTGTGCAGGAAGAAGGCCGGGATGCCCGTCTCCACGCGCAGCGGCTGCAGCAGGGTGGCGCTGGGGAAGGCCGAGGCCGCGTAGGAGGCGGTGCCCTCGGGGCGGGCGAGTGGAGCCGGCGGCTGGGACAGCAGGAAGAGCTGCAGAGCCTGGCGCAGCGACTGCAGCCCCTCGCGCATCTGCAGGACCTGCCCCGACAGCTCGGCCACCTGGGGGCAGGGAGAGGGGTGAGTGCCAGGCAGGGGCCCACGAGCTGGGTGGGAGAACCACGCCCAGGCCCCCTCCCCTGGCCTGGGGCTCCCTGAATCCAGTGCATGGGTACCCAGTACCAATGCTCTCCCCCACCCCCTGGGCCCCACCCAGGGCACGATGCGAGGGGCGCTGGCTGCCCACGTGCTGAGCCCCCCCACACGCTTACCGCCTGCCGCAGCTTCTCGATGGCGTCGGCGCCCGTCAGCTCCGCGGGGCCCAGGGGGATGGTGAGCAACCCGCTCTCTGGGGCAAGGGGAGACAGCAGGTTAGCACCTAGCCCTCCTGGAGCAGGGGAGAGAACCCAGGAGTCCGAGCCCCAGCCCCACCCAGAGTAGGGGAGAGAACCCAAGAGTCCTAGCCCCAGCCCCACCCAGAGCGGGGGAAAGGACCGCCCCCCCCACTCCCAGGGAGAGAACCCAGGAGTCCTAGTGCCCCAGAGCCTCCCCCTGCCGGGGGCCGCCATTACCTGGCCCGGGGGAGGGGCTGTTGCAGTTGGGGCCGACCTGGAAGCTAAACATGGACTTATCCGAGCCGCAGGCGTCTTCCTCGATGCCGTCCACCACCCTGTAGTGCAAAGCGGCACCGTCACCGGGGGGGGGGGAACAGAGGCTCCATCCCCCCTCTCAGGCCATCAGCCCCAGGGCTGCCCAGCACAGGGCAGGGGAAGCAGGCTGGGATCCTCCTCCCCCCCTCCCCCCGCATCAGCCCTGGGATGTCCAGCCTGGGGGAGCCATGGTGCCCTACCCAGCATGGGGGCTCCATTCCCCACCCGCTCTCATTACCCCTGGGCTACCCCCGCCCCATGGGGGGGGTCATTGCCTGAAGCCGCCTGGGCGTGCCCAGCCCCGGGGTAACCAGCAGGAAACACCCCCACCCCGTGTTTGCCTCCCCCCCCCCCGGCACCACCTTACCTGGGGCTGAGGTCGGGGGGCCCCATCCAGGGCAGGCTGTGGAGCTGGAGGCTGGCAGCGGGTGGCAGGCGCCGCGTCCGGGGCAGGCCGCCCCTCCTGGGCGACAGCAGCTTGGCTCCCACGGCTGATGGGGGGCGGTCAGGGGGCAGCTGGGGGCTGGACGGTGCCTCGGAGGGCTCCAGGACTGGGCCGGCTGGCGAGCGGGGCGGGGGCACCGGGGCGTCCTGCGCGGCCTCAGCCGCCTTCTCCTCCAGCAGGGTATTGTCGCCGTTCAGCGAGCTGGTGTCGGCCTGGGGGGCAGAAGGGGTCAGTGCGGGGGAGGGGCGCCCTGGCCCTGCATCTGCCCCACATGCCCGGAGCCAGGTCACCACCCCCTGCCTCAGGGGTTCTCGAGTGATGCCTGCGTCCAGCCCGAGGCGCCTTTTCTCACTGACATCAGAACGGCCAGCCTGGGTCAGACCAAGGGTCCATCTAGCCCAGTGTCCTGTCTGCCGACCGCGGCCAGTGCCAGGGGCCCCAGAGGGAGTGAACAGAACAGGGAATCACCAAGTGATCCATCCCCATCGCCCATTCCCAGCTTCTGGCAAACAGCGGCCAGGGACCCCATCCCTGCCCATCCCGGCTAGTAGCCATTGATGGACCTATCCTCCAGGAACTTATCTAGCACTTTTCTGAACCCTGTGCTAGGCTACAAAATTGGGACAGGGGTGGGGAGTAGGGGCCTATATAAGAAAAAGCCCCCAAAATCGGGACTGTCCCTATAAAATCGGGACATCTGGTCACCGTACATTTGAGTTCCTTCAGAATTCGTGGGTGACTCCCATCTGGTCCTGGTGACTCAGTGCTGAATTCTGGGACAGTTCCTCAGATCTGTCACCTAAACAGAACGGCTCAGGTGTGGGAATCTCCCGCACGTCCTCAGCCGTGAAGACCGATGCAAAGAATTCATTTAGTTTCTCCACAATGGCCTTATCGTCCTTGAGTGCTCCCTCAGTATTTTGATCGTCCAGTGGCCCCACTGGTTGTTTAGCAGCTTCCTGTTTCTCATGTACTTACAAATTTTTTGCTATTACTTTTTGAGTCTTTGGCCAGCTGTTCTTCAAAATCTTTTTTGGCCTTGCTGAGTCTAGTTTTACACTTCACGTGCCGGAGTTTATGCCCCTTTCTAGTTTCCTCACTAGGAATTAACTTCCACTTTTGAAAGGATGCCTTCTTGCCTCTCACTGCTGCTCTTACTTTGTTGTTTAGCCACGGTGGCTCAGTTTTTTGGTTCTCTTACTATGTGTTTTAACTTGGGGGATACATTTAAATTGACCCTCTACTATGGTGTCTTTTAAAAGTTTCCATGCAGCTTGCAGGGATTTCACTTTTGGTGCTAAACCTTTTAATTTCTGTTTCACTAACCTCCTCATTTGTGTGTAGTTCCCCTTTCTGAAATTAAATGCTACAGTGTTGGGCTGCTGTGGTGTTTTCCCCACCACAGGGATGTTAAATTTAATTATATTCTGGTCACTATTACCAAGCGGTCCAGCTACAGTCACCTCTTGGACCAGACCCTGTGCTCCACTTAGGACTAAATCAAGAATTGCCTCTACGCTTGTGGGTTCCAGGACTAGCTGCTCCAAGAAGCCATCATTTAAGGTGTCAAGAAACTTTCGCTCTGCATCCTGGCCTGAGGTGACACGTACCCAGTCGATATGGGGATAGTTGAACTCCCCCATTATTATGGAGTTTTTTATTTATTTGAAGAGCCTCTCTGACCTCCCTGAGCATTTCACAGTCACTAGCACCATCCCGGGCAGGTGGTCGGTGATATCTCCCTACCGCTGTATTCTTATGAGTAGCGCCTGGGATTACTATCCAGAGATTCTATGGGCCAGTTTGATTCATTTACTATTTTTACTTCATTTGATTCGACGCTTTCACAGCTAGCGCCACCCCCCCACCAGCACGACCCGGTCTGTCCTTCCGATAGCTTTTTGTACCCTGGTATTAGTGTGTCCCATTGGTATTAGTGTGTTCCCATTGATTAGCCTCATTCCCCCAAGCTTCTGTGATGCCGATTCTCTCAATATCCTCATTGAATACGAGGCACTCTAGTTCACCCAGCTTAGTAGTTAGACTCCTAGCATTGGTATATAAGCACGTTAAAAACTTGTCACTTTTTAACTGTCTGCCATTACATGATGTAATTGAATGGGGCTTTTTTTCATTTGACTGTTTCCCATCAGATCCTACCTGTATTTTATCATCTTCCAGCCTCTCCGCCATACTAGGACATAGACAATCTCCATTAATAGATCCTCCTCTAAGGGATGTCTCTGTTCGAACCACGTGCTCCTCTGCACCTGTTGGCTTTCCCCCAGCCCTCAAGTTTCCCCAGTTCCTAGTCAATCTAACCCCCTTCTCCCTACACCATCGTCTCAGCCACGCAGTGAGACCCCGCAGCTCTGCCTGTCTAACTGGCCCTGCACGTGGAACTGGGAGCATCTCAGAGGATGCTACCATGGAGTCCTGGTCTTCAATCTCTTACCTAGCAGCCTACATTTGGCCTCCAGGACATCTCTCCTACCCTTCCCTAGGTCACTGTTACCAACATGTACCACGACCACCAGCTCCACCCCAGCACTACACATCAGTCTGTCTAGACGTCTCGAGAGATCCGCAACCTTCGCACCAGGCAGGTTCTCCCGGTCATCGCAAACCCACTCTCTAGGTTTCTAATGATCGAATCGCCCATTACTATTACCTGTCTCTGCCTAATACCTGGAGTTCCCTCCCCCGGAGAGGTATCCTCCGTGTGAGAGGAGACCACGACTTCATCTGGAAGGAGGGTCCCAACTATGGGATCGTTTCCCTCTGCTCCGGCTGGATGTTCTCCTTCCCTGGGACTTTCATCCTCCTCAACAGCACAGAGGCTGTCAGAACTGGGCTGGGACCGTTCTACTGGGTCCCGGAAAGTCTCCTCTATGTACCTCTCTGTCCCGCTCAGCTCCTCCAGCTCAGCCACTCTGGTCTCCAAAGCCCGTACGCGGTCTCTGTGGCGCCTTGCACCGAGCGCACACAGACGCCACCCGCCCATAGGGCAGGTGATCAGACATGCTGCACTGGGGGCAATAAACTGGGTCGCCCCCGCTCTGCTGCTGGACTCTGCCTGCGTCCCCGTTTCACTCCTGCAGCTCCTTGGGTGTTGATTTGTTTTTATTGTGGGGGTATTTGACTAAGTGTAAGGAATGTTAAGTGATGGTTTGGGGGAGGAAGGGAGCGGCCCCCCATCGGCTCAGTAGGGCGGGGGGCCAACCCCTGCCCTGGAGCGGGGTGAGCCCAGTGTGACGTTAGGAGTGTGATATTGAAAGGTGACAGGGCCAGAAAGAGTTAATTAACTCACACTGACCTGACCTATGTAAATGAACAGAGCTTTGAAATGCAGCCGGCATTGTTAGAGGTAGAAGGGGAGGTGTTTGCTCAGGTCTTGGGATGTAAGCAAACGAGTCTTGTCTATTGCTAGAGCTTTGATTCAAAGATCAAAAAAGGAATATTAACATTTAGGAAGATACTTGAGGGAAATAGTATTATTGTCTCTCTGTCTCTTTGAAGGTTGTGGTGACCTGTATCTGAACTGTTTAGTGGGTAAATTACCCTGTGCTAATTGCCAGGATGTTTGGAAGGAGAGTTAAGCCTATTGTTTTCTCAGGGCAAAAGGCTGCTGGAAATGTATAGAACCCTGGGACACGATCCTGCTTCATCTCAGATCTGCTTTGGGTTTCAAGAAGGGGAAACCTTAAGCCATAAGGATTGAGATCCCCAGTCATTGACTGGAGTCACCCCGAATATGGACATTGGACTATAACCTATGGACTATTTCTAAAAGGACTTTTGGCAACTACAAGCTCATCTCTGCTGTGTATCTGAACCTCAAGAATTGAATTCAAGTCTGTCTGTATATTGATCTTTTAACCCACACTCTCTCTCTTTTCTTTTGTAATCAATTTTAGTGTAGTTAACAAGAATTGACTATAGCGTGTATTTTGGGTAGGATCTAAGTTATCATTGGACCTGGGTCTGATCCTTTGGGATTGGAAGAACCTTTTCTTTTATATGATGAGATCAGATTTTCAGATTCATCATCATATGTTTGACGTGTGTCTGGACGGAGGCCTGAGGCTGGGCACTTTAAGGGAACTGCGTGGTTTGAACTTCTGAGTAACCAGTGAGGTGCTATAGAAGCTGGTTGGTAAATCTCAGCACTGGAAGATCCACCAGCGTTTGGGGTTTGTTTGCCCTGTTCTGTTCGCAGTTCACCCTGATTGAGTGACCTCAGCTGGCTCCCACGGGCAGCGCCGTCACAACCAGCATTGCACTGGGCCTGCACGACTGGTCGGGGTGAGCACCCCCTCCCCCCGCTGCACTGGGGCTGGAGCAGATCGCCCCTGGTGAGCCCCCGCCCCAGGTGCCCAGCCAAGCACTAGGGGGCGCTCGCTGCCCCGCCCCGGCCCTGCCCCTCACCTGGGCCCCGGCGCTGCCCAGGTTGTAGCTGAGCTCAGCGCGGATCTCCTGGCGGAACTTGCGGGCGAACTCGGGGTACAGCGCCAGGCTCTCGCCCAGCCCCCGCAGGCTCAGGCACTGCAGGTCGCAGTAGGTCAGGCCCTTGACGTCCGCGTTGGCCTTGATCACGCGCTCCTGGCCCGAGAGGTCGCAGCCCAGCAGGTCGCCCTTCCCTAGGAGCAAACGGCGGGTCGCTGAGGCCCAGGGATGCAGCAGGCCCAGTGCCCCCCCACCCAGGCGTTACAGCCCATCTGGGGCCCTGGGGGGGG